TTAAGTGGATTTAATACATTACATGTTACTTGTTAGATAATTTTATCCAAAGCGACTTACATACTCAATACTGTGGGCAATCCCCACAGGATAGGGTGTCTTGTCCAGGGACACAACGACATGCTGACTGCAGTGGGGTTAGAACCTGTTCTCCCCTGATCAGAACACCAACGCACTAGACCACTGCACCACACGTCTCCTTGTATATGTATGTAATAATAATTGTTTTTAAAGGAGGAGAAGATTAGGCTTTAAAGCGGACCTATCATGCAAAATGCACTTTTTTTTATGTCTTTTATACATACATATGTGTGTCCGGTGTGTCAGGGAACTCACGCAGCATCAGAAAATAAAACCCTCTCTCTTTTCCTCCGTACCCAAATCTCTAAAAACGGGAGTACAACGGAGCTGATCCAGATTTGCGGACCCACAGCACTATCAGAAACGTTGCTATCAGAAACATTGCCCGACTGTTTTGGACGTAATATGGTCAGTGTTTACATTAGCATCGCTAACACTCAGAGCTAACCTGTACTGGAGAGCATGTGTGTGAAGAAGCAGGAAATAAAAAGGAACTCACCTTGTGGTATGACCGGCAAGAGAGAAAGCCTTTGAGCTCCATACTGTTTCAGAAATAATCCTTGATAATCCATGATATGGCGTTTCATCACGGCAGTATTTAGTTTAGACAGTAGCTGCCGGGTCCCGCATGAGCTCAGCGATTAAAATACGATTAATTGAGCAGCCCTCTAGGGCTGCTCAATTAATCGTATTTTAATCTCAATTACGATTTTGGCCTGCAACGATTATGAAAACAACATAATCGAAATAAAACGATTATTTATTTTATTTATTTATTTTTTAATTGGTTTTTCAGTTGAAATATACTTACAGTTCAGGGTAATCAACTGTTAAAAACATACTGTTCACATTTTTTTTTCAATAAATGGATGTTTTCAAAGTAAATTATCAATTATTAACCCAAATAATCGAGATTATGATTTGCCATAATCGAGCAGCCCTACTCAGCCCCCTCCTTTTTTTTTTAAATAATTTTTTTATACCCAAAATCAGCACTTTTGAAACAGGAAGTGAAATAGAGGGATATGAGGCATGGCTAGAATGGGTGATCTGTTTGGTATTTTGAGCAAAACACTTCATAGACATGTTTTTTATATATCTGAGACCTATGCTATTGCCTAAAAATAGCATGGGCTTTTTAAAAGAGGATCTTAAGGTGATGGTGCCTTATTGTAGTCAGTGAACTTGAAGGGTTCTAGGCTAGCCATTTTATGGGTGTTGTTGGTGTCTCAGTTTACTTTATTTATATTTATACTGCAACATTATTTTGGACACTTGATGGCGGGGGTTAGCTGCATTGGGTATATAAAAAGGGTGACAGGAAAGGACGAGGACACAGGAGGAAGAGAGCATACCGATTTCACCAGCCCGGCAGATGCTCATCACCACAACTATTGACTGTATGATAAACCTTGGTATGTAAAACGCTAAATAAAACATCATTCTAAACTGCAGCAAAAGACCGGAAAATCATCTGTTTGTGTATGCGTCTGGATCACTCTACAGCCCTCCTGTGAAGTAATGGCAAAGAATAGGACATTGGAACATTAAAATTGCCATTACCTTTAGTAATAATAGCTGACTTGCCAGACCTTTGATCATGTCAGGGACAGGGAAGATAGACAGACAGGGAAGATAGACGAACTAACATCTCTGTTAACCGCCTTTGCTTTCTCACGGTCTCCATCCCCACCGACTCATAAAGCTGGCAATGTCCTTGATCTCATATTCTCAAGGAACTGCGCTACTTCTAACCTCTCTGTAAACCCGCTCCACACATCCGATCACTTCTTCATTTCATTCTCTCTACCCCTTTCCAAACATAACACACTAATCTCTTCTCATCCTGCATCTGTCCGCCGTAACCTTCGTTCCCTCTCCCCCTCTACCTTTGTCTCATCGGTGCTCTCAGCCCTCCCTTCCTCGGACTCGTTCCAACTACTACCTCCAAACTCTGCTGCAGAAACTCTCCTCTCTACTCTCTCATCCACTCTGGACTCTCTCTGTCCTCTCACATCTCGGCAGGCTCGTCAGTCCCCTCCTGCTCCCTGGCTAAATGATGCACTGCGTGCTAATAGAACCGTCCTTAGGGCAGCAGAGCGGAAACGGTGGAAATCCAAACACCGTGACGACCTCCTAACCTATCAGGCTCTCCTCTCCTCTTTCTCTGCTTCGATCTCTCAGGCAAAAAGCACTTTCTTTCAAGATAAGATCCAATCTTCCTATTCCAATCCCAAACAACTATTTTCCATCTTCTCCACCCTCTTGGACCCTCCAAAAGCCCCTCCCCCTCCTCACTTCTGTCAAGCGACTTTGTTACCCACTTTGAAAAAAAGGTTGATGATATTCGCTCTTCTTTTTCTGACTCACCTTTACTCACCGCTGGGTCACCAGACCCTCCTTCCACCCACACACTAACCTCCTTTTCCCCTCTCTCTCCAAGTGAGGTTCTTACCCTCATTACCTCTGCCCGCCCTACCACCTGTCCTCTGGACCCCATCCCTTCAAACCTCCTTCAGACTATCGCTCCTGATATTCTACCGTTTCTCACCCATTTCATCAACACTTCTGGTCACTTTCCAAACAGTCTCAAGGAGGCAAGAGTAAACCCTCTCCTAAAGAAACCCACTCTCAACCCGTCAGATGTTATAAACTACAGGCCTGTCTCTCTCCTCCCTCCTTCCTGTCTAAATCACTTGAACGCGCTGTCTTTAAACAACTCTCCTGTTATCTCCATCAGAACATCCTTCTGGATCCGCACCAGTCTGGTTTCAAGGCAGGTCACTCCACAGAAACTGCTCTCATTGCTGTCACTGAGGAACTGCACACTGCCAAAACTGCATCCCTCTCCTCTGTCATCATCCTGTTGGACCTGTCTGCTGCATTTGACACGGTGAATCATCAGATCCTCCTTCGCACTCTCCAAAAACTTGGAGTTTCAGGCTCTGCACTTTCCCTCCTCACCTCATACCTCAAAGACCGTACCTACAGGGTGACTTGGAGAGGGTCTGAGTCCGACCCTTGTCAATTAACTACAGGGGTCCCTCAGGGCTCTGTTCTTGGTCCCCTCCTCTTCTCCCTGTACACAAACTCGCTCGGATCAGTCATTAGCCCGCATGGTTTTTCATACCACTGCTACGCTGACGACACCCAATTAATTCTGTCCTTTCCCCGCTCAGAGACCCAGGTCGTCACACGCATCTCTGCTTGTCTAGCTGACATCTCTCAGTGGATGTCTGCTCATCACCTCAAGCTCAACCTTGACAAGACTGAGCTGCTCTTCCTTCCGGGAAAAGATTGTCCCACTCTTGACCTAACAATCAACATCGGCACCTCAGTTGTTTCCCCGACTCAGACTGCAAGGAATCTGGGTGTGACCCTAGATAACAACCTGTCCTTTACTGCAAACATCGCTGCTACAACCCGTTGCTGCAGATACACGCTTTACAACATCAGGAAGATACGTCCCCAGCTGACACAGAAAGCGACGCAGGTTCTGGTCCAGGCTCTCGTCATCTCACGCCTAGACTACTGCAACTCCCTCCTGGCTGGTCTACCTGCATGTGCCATCCGACCTCTGCAACCTTCCTAAATTTTCCCACACCACTCCGCTCCTCCGCTCCCTTCACTGGCTTCCGGTAACTGCTAGAATCCACTTCAAGACACTGGTACTTGCTTACCATGCTGCGAAGGGATCTGGCCCTTCGTACATCCAGGACATGGTTAAACCGTACACCCCAGCGCGTGCACTACGCTCTGCATCAGCCAAACGACTCGCTGCACCCTCGCTGCGAGGGGGACCCAAGTTCCCATCAGCAAAAACACGTGGGTTTGCTATCCTGGCTCCAAGATGGTGGAATGAGCTCCCCATTGACATCAGGACAGCAGATAGCTTGCACATCTTCCGGCGCAAACTGAAAACTCATCTCTTTCGACTCCACTTCGAGCGATAGATTTATTAACAAAGCACTTATATACTAATAAAGGACTGGCTTATCTAAAGCCAGTTGAGTAGCACTTGAAATGTTTGGCTCTATGAAACCTGATGTACTTATATGATTCTGTTTTCTTCAAGGTTGTGTCTTCCTGGTCGAATGTACTTATTGTAAGTCGCTTTGGATAAAAGCGTCAGCTAAATGCAATGTAATGTAATGTAATGTCATTAATTACAAGTATGTTGTTAAGTTGGGCCGTGTATTATTATTTTACCGTTGAATGAAGTTTGCCCTAGTAAACAAAAAACAAACATATCCATTTATTTTACATTGATGTAGTCCTCACCATCAAGTAACTGGTGCTCCTTTTAATGTAGTTTATTGTGTATCAAGTTTTATGTAGATGTGGTTACTTTATCAATTTAATAGCAGATATAGCACAAGACATATTTCAACATTTTGAACGCAAAAAGGTAGGCACAGCATTTTCTGTGCTAGACTAACATTTCACCACTGCCTGCTTTAATGCACTGGATTGCCTGTTGTTGAATACCAGCTTTATTACAATTTTGAAATACAAATGAACTAATCCTATTTTTGTGAAATGTATGTATTTAACAGTTGATTACCCTGAATTTTAAGTATAATTCAACTGAAAAACCAATATAAAAAAATAATCGTTTTATTTCGATTAGCCTATGTTGTTTTCATAATCGTTGCAAGCCAAAATCGTAATTGCGATTAAAATACGATTAATTGAGCTGTGTGTGTGTGTGTGTGTGTGTGTGTGTGTGTGTGTGTGTGTGTGTGTGTGTGTGTGTGTGTGTGTGTGTGTGTGTGTGTGTGTGTGTGTGTGTGTGTGTGTGTGTGTGTGTGTGTGTGTGTGTGTGTGTGTGTGTGTGTGTGTGTGTGTGTGTGTGTGTGTGTGTGTGTGTGTGTGTGTGTGTGTGTGTGTGTGTGTGTGTGTGTGTGTGTGTGTGTGTGTGTGTGTGTGTGTGTGTGTGTGTGTGAGAGAGTGTGAGGATTAGGATCAGGATCAGGGATTAAAGACAGATGTCAACCAGAAATCCAATCCAATTCTGCGGTCATCCCCGCACATCACGGTCAAGATTAAGCACGCCCCGCCTTCTCTACAGTTTGACCTCAATCCTATTGGTCCATTCTTTGATCGACGGTGCTCTTGTCCAATAGGAATCGATAACGGGGAGTTCGAGGGTAACCTCTGCGCAGATGTGTGTGAAGGAGACAACGCAGTTTTTAGTGTGAGAGCAGGAATAGTTTTTGCGAGGGAGTCACATACTGCCGAGCACCACAACTAGAAAGGTGAGCACTTTATTACGATTAATTAAACTGAATGTAATGTTTAATTCCGTGTAAATGTTGTTTAATTAATGTCAATAAAGTTAACTCAGGAAACATCAGTGACATCAGTTTGGTTGTGTCGTATTAATCAGCTGCCAACTTTTAAATGCTACCGTTAATTCATGTTGCTATCTTAATTGCACGATATTTTATGTATTACAGGCAAACATTTGTCCCTAATGGTCATTTTTGTTGTTGTTCAGGCAGGTTCTTTGTCTATCTAATCTTTTTAGTTAACTGTTTTATCCATAAAAAGGTTAAAAGAGTATATTTCACGACATATTTCAGTAATAAACAGGCAGGAATCTGTCTCTAATCGTTCCTGTTTGAGCAAAGGCTCTTTATTTTTATTTGTAATCTTCTTAGTCCTTTGTTTTACCACTAAATACCGCTGATAAAGTATATTTCACGAAATATATCAATATTTTACAGGCATATTTTAGTCTTTAACGTCCTGCCAGTTTTATGCACAGTCTATATATTTCCTCTCCAATTGTTAAGTCACGTGCTTTAATCCAAATACATGCCTGACAAAGTATATATTACACTATATTGTAGTTATTTAAAGGCAGATATCAGTCACTTCATCCTTTTGGTTTGTGTACAGGCTCTTTTAATTATTTCTAATCTTCTTAGTCAATTGTCTCACCCATAAATAGGCGTTAAAATATATCTGTCGCAATACATCTCAATATTTTACAGGCAGATATAAGTCACTGTCTTCCTCGTTGTTTTTGTAAAGGCGCTTTTAATTCTTAGCAATATTGTTAATCAGATTCCATATTAAAAAAAGGCTTGATAAAACATTTTCACCATATATTTGTCATTTTATAAACCAGATATAAGTCACAACCATCCTTGTTTCATGTTAGCTGCCCTTTTAATCACTCTCAATCTTCTTATGTAGACATTTAACAAAACAAATGTTCATGATGTTTCAGTTATAACCGGCATACCACTATGTCACTATGGTCATTGTTGTAAGTGTGCAGCTTTTTAATCCCTTGATCTTGCATAGTCATTTGTTCCTCATGCCAATATGTAGATCTAATATATCTGCTCTCACTTTTTGTCACTCTTGTTAGTTTTTCCCTACTTGCAAGCTTTGTCAGACTCAAATAAAACGTTCTATAATAATAACTTGGATTTCTATAGCGCCTTTCATGATACCCAAGGTCGCTTAATGCATGAAATGTGACCCACCGTCTTGGGAAGGCAAAGATACTGCCAAGTAAAGTGCCTGTCATGTCCTGCCAGTATGGTTAGAGGTCATTCATTGGGCTCAGCTTAGCATAACTCACCCTCCTGTCAAGGTGCTTTCTTTTCTTCTCTCACACCACCTTCCTTGTTAATCTGCAATCTCTCATCAGTTTACACTTAGATGCCTGTAATATTCCATTTACAGTAAGGCCTGAACACAACGGTAATGGCATTTAAAGACAGTCAACTGTGTGTTTGTGTGTGTGTCAGGTAAACCCTGGCCTATGAGGGCTAATGATACAGGGAGAAAGACTTTGCTCTTTGGTTCCTTCCTGTGACATTTATTCCAGACTGCTGCTGCTCTCCCACGTTTACACTAAACTTGAACGTACTGCTCTGTTTGACCTGGCCAGAGATGAACAGATAATCCTGTGAAAACGTTCCCCATGACTTGAACCTGTCAACAGATTAGTTCAGCTGACTGTTTATATACCAACAAAGTGAAGGTTTTATGGTGTATCGGACACAGACAGCTTGATTTGACCCTGAAAAGGACATGGTGACTTTTGAGAAGACTACGCTGCACATTTGAAGTTTGATATTTGGACCAAGGGTGATTAATCAGTGACTAGTCAGGGCCTGTGCAACTTCTTACAGTAGTACTGCAGACAGCTGCAACCTTGAGAATAGGGACTGCTGTCCTCCCACTGAAACGAAAGGAAGCAGAGTTTTTATGTTTCCCGTGAACTGTAAGGGAATTTTTCTTTTTACCACTAATGCTGCAGGGTGGCTGATCTCCACTTTCACTTTCGGTTTCATCGAGTAAAAACCCTGTACTGTAAGTGTGCATGAAATCATTGCAGACAAAAAAGATTTCCTAAGACTTTTTTTGGGTACTTTCACATGTCATACATATGCCTTGCCAACTGAAGTACAACCTTGCAAAATTGCAATGTAAAGAAAAGGCGTGGGACTTTAGAGGGGGAAAAAGATGGAAATTGAAGTCTTTACTATCTCTTTGTCTTTTTTCTATTTTCTAATTTCACAGATGTCATTTGCCAGTGACAAGCTGTACAATGGGTATCTGCGGCGGAATATGCCGACCATTGTGAGCAGGGTGAAAGTGAGAGAAGTAATGATCCACCTGCCTTGCTTGACTTCTCACGACAGGGTAAGTTTGAACTGACGCTAGAGCTGTGAGGGATCAAATCTCCAAAATATGGTCGTCAAATGTTTTTAATTGGCATTGAAAAGGATGTTTACATTTGTTTATTGTAGGATGGGATATTGACAGGGATATTGATAGATTTTAATATCATTAATGACAGGAATATTTCTTTGTGAATAATAAACTTCTCAGAATATTATCAGCAAGTCACCAACAAGAAGCTGATTAATTGATGTATGTGTTTTTTTTTTATGTAATCTAAATTTTAGGAAAACATTGAGGCAAAAAGAGAGGTTCGTGGGAACTATGACGGCATGGTGCTTCTGCTGGACTGTCTGAAGAGAAGAGAAAACTGGCCCGAGCAGTTAATCGAAGCACTCGAGGCGTGTGAGCAGCCAATTTTAGCAGCTGGGATTAGAACAGAATACGACACTCTGCGAGGCACCAGCAGTAAGTCTTTAAGTCAAGTACCTAGAACTGTGTATTAGTAGTAGTAGTAGTATTCGTTTATTAGTCTCCAAGGGGAAAATGGGTTGCAGCACATCACAGAGGCATTTAAAAAAGTTAAGACAATACATCACTGACAACAACATAGACACAGATAAAACAAACAGACATAAGAAAACCAGATATCGGCAGACATGACAAGGGGCCTAGGCCCTCATTTGCAAAATAGGGGGACAGGGCCAGACCAGCTGGGTAAACAGTGCGTCCTAGCCATCATTTATTCAGGAGTTTGATGGCTTGTGGGACGAAAGACAGCCTAGATCTGTTCTTTTTGAAATAAGGGGCACGATATCTCTGCCCGGATGGCAACAGTTCAAAGTAAGAGGCAAGAGGGTGCCTCAGGTCACTCACAATATTGTGTGCCAGTTTTAAAACTCTGTCCTTATATAAGCATTCTATATTAGCAAATGAGATTCCTGTCAATTTACTGGACAATGTTATGGCCCTCCTGACCGACTTTTTCTGTGCCTCAGTTGCGTTGCCGAACCAGCATATAATGCCGAAGGAGAGCACACTTTCGATAAAAGCATGATAAAACATCTTCACCATTCTGTTGCCGACATTAAAAGACAATAATTTACGTAAAAAAAACATTCTTTGTTGAGCACGACACCAAGATACTTGTACTCAGTGACACATTGAATGGGCTCACTATTTAATAAAAGAGTAGGGTTGGGCGATTGTGCTATTCTAAAATCAATTTCCATCTCCTTTGTTTTAATGTGTGGAGTTATGCAATTATCGACGAGAAGTTGTGAGTTCAAAAGATATTACTACAGCCAAGGGGCATCTTTAAGCATTAGATGTACCGTATATCTTATACAGCCAATACAGTAAATCTTACCCTGAGAATTTAAGAGGTTTATTTCAGTCCTACACAACTACAGAGTTATCTTTGATGGTCGCTGTTTTGCTTCAACTGTAAAAATAGTGTATAAAGCTGTGAACTGTTCATGCAGGGGCCAGAAATGTGCAGGATAGATGTGTATCATCAAATGCAACACACAGTGTCTATAAGAGATAATACGAGTCTGTCATTGAGTGTCCTGGGCTATGATATTGTGTATTTGAAAAAGGATTCAAAATGGATTTGATTACGTCATAATTTTCTTTGGCCTAGATTCCAACCCCAGCCCTCCTCCAACAGCTGTCGTCAGGGCACACGTGCATCCAGCACCATCTGCCAGTCATCTGTCCACCACAGAGAGCGGTGCAAACAGTCAGGCTGCTGCTGCTGCTGCTCTGCCAGCTGAAGCACCAGCTCCTGCAGAGCCACTTGCCCAGGCCTCACCCTCTCTGGAAATCCCTGTGCAGCCACAAGCCCCCCCGAGTGCAGAAGCCAAAGTTCCTGAGGTGGTTTCCCCTCCACAGCCAACTCAGGGTGAAGTGGAACCCCCTCCATCAACCCCTCCTCCTGAGAGCAACTCTCACCAGGAGCCGGTGGAAAACTGTGAATCCGACATCGAGGATGTCTCCGGTGATGATGCTGCTATCCCCGATCAGGTGAGCGCAGGAAACAGCGAGGTATTGATCGACACTGTGGCCCCTCCGCAACCACCTGCTGAGGAGCTGGAAACAGAAACTCCATCCATGCAAGATCCTGTCGAAACAAGAACAACAACCTCCACGGAGATCAGTCCTCCACAGAGTCCCTCTCCATCTCAGATGAACTCGGATGTGACCGATGGATCCTCTTTCCTCACTTTAACCCCAGAGAGGCCTCCGGTCCAGGACACCACCCCCCCTGTGGACATGAAACCTGCTCCTGTCCTGCTGCCTGAAGAGACGTCTGAGCCGCCTGCGACACAGGTGAATACCAAAATAAATGATTTTTTTTTTAAAAAGTATGTAGGTAAAGTATGACGTAATTTGTTTATGGAACAAGGTTGCATTATTTGAGCTTTACTATAAAGGCATCGACCAATCACGTTGTGTGTTACAGATTACAAGGCTGCAAACTTTATTGTTCCTTTCAACATTGAAAAAGGCAGCACATACCAGATCCTTCACAATAAAAGCCCAAGACATATACAGTACACTGCGTAACTGTTTACAAGAGGGGACTTCAGAGCATTTTGCTAAAGGGAATTCAATATAATTTTCTGCAGATTTATGTGAACCTTTTATTGAATAAGTGTTGCAATTGTTGCTATTTCCCATTCCTGCCGTAATAAATAGGTGTTATGTTAAATGTTTGCAGAAAAGTATTCATAATGTAAAAGTGATACGTGAAAAGCTACATTTTGTCGGCAGCATTTTAATACAAATGAGAGGAATTGTATACAAGGCCTTCAATCATTTCTTACCTCTGTGGAGCTTATGATGTTGAGTTTTTGTTTAACAGTGAATCAGAGATGGATACATTCATTTAAACTTTGAACATATTGTCTACACAGATTTTAAAAAACAACAACTAAATTGACATGTAACATGATTGTCTCCTGCAGGTTATTGAAAGCAGCCCGCAGACAGAAACTGAAGCTGCCACCTCCCCCCTGCCGGTTGCTGCAGAGACGGACTCCTCTATCTGTGATGACAGCTCTGTGTGTCTGAGCAAACCTGGCCCACTCCTCAGCATCCACCCGCAACAAGATGCTATCCCTGCTATCCCTGAACAAAGAGAGCCGGTGCAGCTCTATTCGGGGAATAGTGAGCGTCTGGAAATCAGCAATGCTGCACCAGAAGCTGTGACCTCTTCCCTCCTCCCCGCATGCTCCACCACTGTGAATACCGCACTGCCATGCCAGGAGAACGGCATCGCTCCTAACCACAGCGAACCGGAGGAAAACCACTACGAGTCTCCCTGTGAGAGTTTGGATATGCAAGTGCTGGAGAATGTCGTGCATATATCCGAGGAGCCGTCTATCCTTGACCTAGACGGCCAAAGCTCAATACCACGAGCTCAAATCATGAATGGTGACGCAGCCAAAGAGATCACCCCTGCGCCACCAGTATCCACCAACACTGGTGATACTGTATTGAGTGTAAACACCCCCTCTGGTGAGAACTGCCTCCCTTCTGAGCCCACACCTGCTGATATCTCCCCAGAGCCGAAGACGCTGCAGAATCCAGAGAAGAAATCGAATAATACTAAGTACATTCTGACAGCTGCAGGAGTGGGCGCCTGTGCCCTGGTGATGGCGTGGAGGTTTAAGAATTAAGTGGATTGAATACCTTTTTAAAGGAGGGGAAGCTTAGGCTTTAAGGCTTTTTAAAAGAGGATCTCAAGGTTATGGTGCCTTATTGTAGTCAGTGAACTGAAAGGGTGCTAGGCAGCTGTGTCATAATTACCTTTAGTAATAATAGCTGACTTGCCAGACCTTTGATCATGTCATTAATTACAAGTATGTTGTTAAGTTGGGCCATGTATTATTATTTTACTGTTGAATGAAGTTTGCCCTAGTAAACAAAAACCAAATCTACCCTTTTTATTCTAGTTTGGGAACTTCATGGAAATGGGTTCTTAGATTATTTATTCATGTGCCGCAAAGTTTGTAAAGAGACACTTGTGCTGTGTATTAATTATATACATATTTGTGTGTCTGATGCACTTTTAAGATAAGACTGTTGGCTATCATCCAGGGAAGATAAGTGTACCAAGGACCTTAAACTACTGGATCTTGACTGTGGAAAAAAGAGTGCTCTGTAAACGATGGCTAGTGCACTGTGTATTTATTTGTACATATATAGAGATTATAAAGGTATCCAATTATGTATCTGAGGAAAATGTGATGTCAAAAACATTCCAAAGCAATGTCTGCTTAAAAACGATGGCACTGCTTCAAAGTGAGTTTTCTTTAATGGCCCCGTCCTGTTTCTTTTTGAGCCAGGGATTAAGACGACTTGATGTTCCCCAAAACGCACATTCATTTCCAGCTTTACCCAGTCCAATCACACAACTTCGTGAGAGCCAACACATCATTAGATGGAAGGTATTAACCTTGAGCTATCATGTTGTTAGCTGCATATTTAACTGGGTTTTAAATGTTCACTTTTGTGGTTAGGGTAATTTCTTCTGTTATCGGACCCCTTTTTATGGCTTATGTCAAGGTTGTAGTTCTGGACAATCAATGACGAACGCATAAGGCGTTGATTGTGATTGTACATCCTTGCAAGAAAAACTAGGGGATTGTGATCAGTGTATACCTAAATAGGTTTTACACTGGAGCCAAGATACACCTCAAAGTGCTGCAAGGCAAACAATAGAGCTAAAGCTTCTTTTTCAATCGTAGAGTACTTCAACTGATGTTTGTTACTGTAAAATGTCGGGAGAAGTAACTCACGGGGTGATCAATGGCCTGTGCATCTTCTTGTAGAAGAACAGCCCCTGCCCCAACTCCACTGGCATCGACCTTGAGCTTGAATGGCTTCGAAAAGTCTGGTGCAGAAAGAACAGGAGTGCAACACAGATTACTTTTAAGGCTCTCAAATGACTGTTGACACTCACCGGACCAAACGAAAGGTTTTGAGGGACTGGTCAACGTAGTGAGTGGGGCCACCACCGAGGATACGTTCCTGCAGAAACGGCGATAGTACCCTGCCATTCCTAGGAAGCGGCGAAGTTCCCTCCTGGTGGATGGCACTGGGAGGGAGGCAATTGCCCTGATCTTTGAATCAGCAGGGCACACCTGCCCTCGACCAACCTGCTGACCAAGGTAGAGAACGGTACCTTTTCCAAACTCACATTTGGCAAGGTTAAGCAATATGCAGCCGACAAGCATTTCAAAACTTCTCTTAAGGTAGACATGTGGCTAGCCCAGTCATTAGAATAGACAACAATGTCGTCCAGATATGCCTTATAGTTTGGAACATGTCCCAATACACGATTTACAAGCCTCTGAAAGAAGAAATTCTTCAGAAGAAATTAGCATAACCACAAAAATGTTTTAAACAAAGTTGTAAGCTTCATGGCCATCATCTGGTGTAAATGTTTGAGATGAGAATTTATTTTTCCAAAGTTGTTCCTCTATTTTAAAAATAAAGTTTGAGAAGAGATTTTATTGTAAATAGCATTGTTAATATAAGAAATGTTAGGGGGAAAATAAATCATGTTTTTGCACATTTTATCAGGGTATTTGAGCTGCAAAGATGCTTAAATGTATTCACTATGGAAAACATGTCAATTGTAATCTCAGTTTACGGTTTATCAAAACAATGTAAAGACTGTCTCTGGATTCCCACTTGGCAATTATACCAATAAACCTGAAATAAAACAAATATTTGTTGAGTGTGCATGTTGATTTCACAGAAAAAATAGCACAGATTTATTTTAAGTCCACAATAACTTTTTGGGACTAATGTCACATAGAACAGTTATTATTATACATAAATAATAAACTACCAACATTAAGAGAGCTTCTATATAAATAAAATATAAAAAATAAAATATAGCTATACATATGGTGCTTGTTTTGATTTTCATGCATTCTGAAAAACAACAAAATCTGTTTTTTTAATGTGAAAAACTAAAGACAAATGTGACACCAGCCTCCTTTTGCGAACTGACTTGCTAACTCGCATTCTGATTGGTTCTGGCGTCTTTCAATCAAACGTCCGACCCCGCCCACCCCCGGCTTGACAGCGAGAATAAAAAAGGACATGTACACACGGCCGTTATAACGACACAGCTACTTAGCTAGCTAATTAGCTAGGGCCTAGACTTCATTGTCCACATAAATCATTGACATTTAATCGTTTTATTTATCATCAGTATGTATGTAGTGATTTAGTCATTTTGATGGCGTCCAATGGCCACCAAGGCGACGATGAAAGTATCGACGAAGGCGAAACGCCCACGAAGCAGCCGCGGTCCGACAGGGAGATGCCCGGGTGTTTCAGAAATGAGCCCGACAATGAGGCAGCATCGCCCGCAGGAAGAGCCACATCCCAGCGGCAGACCTCCAACTCGACGGCGAGGCTTCGGAGCGACTCGGTGAAGAAAACAAGGCCGCGTAGGTGTTACCGTTACTAGCATGGGCTTAGTGTATTTACTGGGGATTGCATCGTATTCATTAAAAGGCGTAGCCCACAAAAGACAGTCAATAATAATTGAGATTTAAAATGAAGACGTATATACATAAAGCGTATTTAAAATGTATTGTAAATGTGTTGATATTGGTGAGAAGATTTTAGAACTGACAACAGTCTTTGTAGTACAATGTAATATCTGAGGTGTAGTGGCAGTGAATAGCCAGGGTCTATTTTGCAACAAGATGGCGTTCACGGTACACACTGTACTTCTGCCTCTATGGATGAAGCTGCTTTTCCTTATGTCGTTCAACAATCATACATCACCTCTATTTGTGACTACTGTCAATAAGCATTTAAATATGAAAGATATTATATTATGCAATGTTAAATAAAATGAATATTGTGAGTGATTTTTTTTGTTGTTGCATTGATTATCTCACATAATGCAGCATTTCCCTGGTTTGGGATGGACATTGGAGGCACTCTGGTGAAGCTGGTCTACTTTGAGCCCAAAGACATCACAGCAGAGGAGGAGCAGGAAGAGGTGGAGAACCTGAAGAGCATCAGGCGCTACCTCACCTCTAACATTGCCTATGGTAAAACTGGCATTAGGGACGTGCACCTGGAGCTGCAGGACCTGACGCTGTGCGGCAGGAAAGGCAACCTGCACTTCATCCGTTTCCCCACGCATGACCTGCCGGCCTTCCTGCAGATGGCCCGCAGCAAGCACTTCTCCAGCCTCCACACCACCCTCTGCGCCACGGGAGGGGGGGCGTACAAGTTTGAGGCGGATTTCCGCACGGTGGGTCCATGCAGGTGTTCTCCCCTGTTTGCTTTTACAGGCTGAATTGTGGAGATTGACAGGAAGGAAAGAGGAGAGAAAATAGTGAAGTCATATTGAACATATTTATAGCATGTGATGGGAATGCGTGTGATTCTTACTGAACAGAATTTGATGAAGAGCACCTAAATACAACTTTTAAAGATATAATGCAATTTTGGCACTAATAACAAGGACAAAGACAGCATGCATATCCTCATGAATTTAGCATTAGGCTACCATTGTTTTCCCGTAAGTACTGTGATAAACATCAATTCTCTAATAAGGACAAATTAAACTGTGATAACACTAAGATTAATCAGAATTGTGGCACTAAAGGTTCCTTCAAGTATTTTTATAAAAATGGTGAGGCATATTTCAATTGAATTTTAGTGAAGGTTCCTGCTTTCCCTCCTCCCTGCGTCAAACCTTCCTCTGTGTTCTCCAGACCACCTCCCCCTCAGTGATGTTATCTATGTTCTTTTACCCTCTCAAATAAAAGATGGCGGACCTGCAGCTTCACAAGCTGGATGAGCTGGACTGTTTGATCCGGGGGGTTTTGTACATCGACTCGGTGGTGTCCAGCGGACCCTCGGAGTGCTACTACTTTGAAAACCCCACTGACCCAGAACGCTGCATCCAGAAGCCCTACACACTGGAGAACCCCTATCCTCTGCTGCTGGTCAACATAGGCTCCGGGGTCAGCATCCTGGCCGTCTACTCTGAGACCAACTACAAACGAGTTACAGGGACCAGGTAATTATCAGCCATGAAGATGTAAGACCTTTAAACATCAGGGGGGTAATGATCAAAAGTCATAAAAATACAAAAAATGAACTATTCCTAGAGGGTGTACAGGGTCTGCAGGGGTATGCTAATATAAATACATATAATAATTATGTGAAATTTAGTCAAATACCACATTTATTTTTGTATTCACACATATTACCCAAATCTATAACAGACAGCCAAAAACAACTGTTAGTTGGAGTAATAATGTACAACTATTATATCAATAAGAAAATAGTGAAAAATGTCTTAAAATATAAGTAATAACAATAAAAAGAAGTAAGGTAAGACAACAATAAAGAGAGAAAAATTGCATGGATTAAAAGATGGGAGAAGGAAAAATTAATTACAAAAACACCATACAATTCCTGATGAGTGCAACTCATTAAAGATGACATTGAGACACTAGATGGCGCACTCCCCCTCCCCTTGCTTCATGTCAAAGTACTGTGGCTGCTAGTTCAATGCAAAACTTGAATATTACGTGTCTGTGTAGATTCCCAGTAGGATAACTCGGAAACCTTAGTTTTGGCTTACCGGCCCAGTAGAAATGTGTCTTCCTCAAAGTTACTTTTTCAGTCCTCAAAGCGCCTTTAGCTCACTCCAACGATAATGTCTTCAAAGAAAAACCTAACTTATAATTCCAAGTGTAGTTGCAGCATTTTTTTAGACATCTGCCACCCAACAACTTCCCTTCACTTAACTGTTTGCTTGTGAGTTGAAACAAAATAGTTCTGTGTTAGTTGGATTTTGTGTGAGAAATGTCCCTTTTCCCCTACATTTTAGACTAAAATTGAGACCTTACAATCCCTAGACAATCCAGACTGGTGTATTTTACATTTATAGAATATACACATTTACAATTTGATTCTCCCCCTGTTAATCTGTATGGTGTCACAGCCTCGGTGGTGGGACCTTCCTGGGTCTGTGTTGCCTGCTGACTGGCTGCTCATCTTTCGAGGAAGCTCTAGCAATGGCCTCTGAAGGGGAGAGCACCAAAGTGGACAAGCTGGTCCGAGACATCTACGGAGGAGACTATGAGAGGTTTGGGCTGCCGGGCTGGGCTGTAGCCTCAAGGTGCGGTTTACAGCAGCTTTTTACTCTAGGTCAAAAGCCTATTTTTGGTGAAATCAATCAAAAGCACAGTCTCTGCTTTAATAAAACAGAAACCAGTAAAGTGCTACATTTACTATACTTTCTATCGCAATTAATTGACCAAAAAATGGACAGAACGCACAAAAAACACAAATGTAAAGACACATTTCACTCACACAGACATCTTGATATCATTGTCTTTTGGCCACAATATGAAATTGTGATGGTCCTACTCCCAAAAAAAAAAATATATATATTTGCTCTGAATCTTGTTTTCGGGATTCACTGTTTGATGTATAACTTTGTTAAAGTTTGAACAGACTTTAGCATTTTTATTTATCTAAAATAATGCTTGTCTTTTGATTTGATAGTTTTGGTAACATGGTGTCCAAAGAGAAGAGGGAGACGGTGTCCAAAGAGGACCTGGCCAGAGCAACACTAGTCAGCATCACCAATAACATCGGCTCCATCACCAGGATGTGTGCTCTCAATGAGGTTAGTAGCTAATTCACTGTATATGCTGCAGAGTATTTCATTTGCATCTGAGTTTTGAATGGCAAAATAGTTCAGGTCGGATGGACGAATGTCAAGATACAATGGAGAGGGGAAAGATTTACTTTCGATGAACATGTCTGAAAACATCAGTTCTCCTCCAGTGTCCCTGCTGGGCTTTCCTCTTTGCGTTCAGCCTCTTTACGGTGCTGCCTTGTGACGTCTTGATCAAGCAGCATTGTACAGGGCTATGAAGGCGTAGAGGACGTACGCTGCATTATCAACATGTATTTAAAACACAAACAATAATTAATCAGATGTGTCTATTGTTCCAGTTGTTTTGCTATCAAAGTAGCATGTCTCACATACACCCCCTTCATCTGGAGTAAAATAAATTGCTTTACAAATGAGATAAAAATGCTTTAAGTTAATATAAAATGAGGAGAGAGTGTGTGGGCTTCTGATTACAGAGCAGAAATGGTAACTTCCTCAACAGAGAAACAAAGCCAGAGATTGTCATGTAGATAACATAACAGTGTTCATAAAATAAGCTTGCCTATTAACCAAGATATTTTATCCCCATTCTCTTGCCTAATTAAGAACATAGAGAGAGTGGTGTTTGTGGGAAACTTCCTGAGAGTGAACACCCTCTCTATGAAGCTGCTGGCCTACGCCATGGACTACTGGTCTAAAGGACAACTGAAGGCGCTCTTCCTGCAGCATGAGGTAAATAACTCAACCCTTTATTTCACTATAAATGTACTTTTTTGCTTTATGGGCGTAATGATTTCTGAATCAATGTTCTTTTTTGTGTATTTCAGGGTTACTTCGGAGCAGTTGGAGCCCTGTTGGAGCTTCTGCATCCGTCCTAATCCGTCCGAATTATATCCAAAGAAGCACTTGTCAGTCTGCTGGTAGAACATTAGCACTTTAAACCGTCCAGAATTGATCACACAGTGGGATGTTATGCCAGCCAGCAGCCAGTTACTGGTACATTTTGGTTGTGAAAGGCAAAGGTCCTATTTTGTTCCCATAAATCAAGCTGGTTTTGTAAAATGCTAAAACAACTCAGGATAAAAGCACCACGGTTGCCTGAAATTCTTCGATTAAAACCTAAGCGTCACATAGTATAGTCTTGTTGGCTGCACTTACCCCTCGGTGGGTTACTGGCCAGGTTTATTTTACCCTACTTTGGTACCAGGTGCATGGTTGAACGATTGTGTATACGTTTATATAATGGGTGGTAGAACCGAAATCACAGGGGAAAAAAGCACAATTAATTGTTTATATCCTAAATGTGTTGTTTAATTGATCAGTCTAAAAAGGTAGAAAGATACCTACGTCTCCTAAATAAAATATGACGTCTTTCAAATACTTTATTAGATATTTGGTTTATTATCATATAAGACCAAAAAGTGCTAAAAAATATTCATATTTCAGAAACTGGAACTAGGATTATTTTTGTGACCATCATGTTGCAGATTATTATTGACTAACCCTTTCAGCTCTTCATACCAGTAGTTATAAATACCAAAATATAGGTAGTCAAACAAAGACTGGGACAATATCTTGGTTTTGTGATGATTGAACTATAGTCAAACACTAACTACCACTAACTTAGTCAACTGATATGTTTTGTGTGCTGTAACATGTCTGTCACGCAAAATATTGTCTTGATAATACTCCCATTAACTTGCTATTCTTTTAGTAAAGATGAAGAAAAGCACTGAAAATAATTTACAACCATTTATTATTAGTCCTTTATGTTTTGGAGTATTTACTTATCTCACCAATAGGACTTTAAATGCGGTTGTGTATGAACAATTATTGTTTTTCTCGTTGGATAATTTACTAAATAATTGATGAAAAAACACAATTTCATCAGATGTACTCTTGAATGGAGATGTTAACTGTTACCGTTATAGAAATGATGAGTCCTTTGAACATATTTCCTGAATTAGATTTCAATACAGTTTTCTAAAGTTTGTTTACCTAGTTCTTTTACTTTGAGCTTTGTTTTGCAAAGAAATCTGGACAATCATTTTTGGGGTTAGAAAGACTGGACCCTATGGTATAGATTTAAGTCTCATTCTTACCCCAAACAACTCCCCTGCTGAAGTGCCCTTGAGCCACTGCATCCTGCTCTTTGTAGAGAGAGAAATCAAAGCAATTGAAAATATATTGATACTGAGGTAAAATCAGGGCATTTTATTCCTGTGTAATCCTTAGATTTAATTTTAAAAAAGAGGTTATTTTAATGCAGAAACGTAAAGCATCCCTCCAATGGAGGATTTAGGTCCTGTAACCCTAAACAATGTTTTTCTTGGTTTAGTACGTATGTGCTTAAATATTCATGTTTTGACTTATATGTATGTTTTGGGAAGGCTTCCCAAAGCTTTTGTTTTTCAAGAGGTATTTAAAGGTTGATCTTAACATGTTCAAGATTTAGTCTCTGATTGTCCTATTATTTCATGTAATGCTTTCCGTCCAATTTTGATGTCATCTGTTTGTTATATTGGTCTATTGCTGGATAACAGGGATTACGTTGAATCATAATCTACCTAAAGAGAGTTTTTCAGCTGTAAGTTTTCTAGGTATGAACGTTGTGACAGTTTATATAGTAAATGAATGTTAATTTAAGTGCCTTTAATGTTTTAGTATCATGCATAAAATATTTTTAGCAGCAGGATTTAAACAATGCAAACTGGGTCGTTGTTCTCTAGGTTTTCCTATTTGATTGCTTTACATTCGTACTATTACATTGAAAAGAAAACGTACTATTTTTGTAACGAGTCATAATACATTTCTTACTGGGTTGTCTCTATTAAAAACAAACTTTTCTAATCTTTGTGAGAACTGATGGTGTTTTTCTTGAAGAACATACATTATTAGAAGCAAAATATTCTTAAAATCAGAAAAATAAAAGGACAATATGTGCTGCTGGTAAAAAAAAATACATTATAAATGAATTATATTTGCTATTAATCTGAATCTGCTAAATCAGGGGTGGGGAACCTCCGGCCCCCGGGCCGTATACGGCCCGCGAGACCATTTGGTTTGGCCCTCGAGGTAATTTATAAACACACGCAAAAAAATTAAAGAAATCTAGACCGCTAAATAATTAAACAAGTGAGTGCCTGTTTTTCCTGGCAACGGTCATGGTCCTTGAACACAACACGAGCCTAACGTGTCATCACGTGGTATATGTCTCGTCTGACAGGGGTGCAGTGCTGACGGAGAGCACCAGAACGCCGCTCCGGGACTTCAAAAAAATTGCAGTACCCATAAGTCCGTACACATACTGCAGTTTTTGCGTGGCTGTGTCTTAGTTGTAAGCCCAGTGGCGATCTGTCATTCTGATCATACAGTCAATAACTTTGTTGTTATTAGCATCTGGTTAGCTAGCTATGCTAACGAATATAAGAAGCTTTTTCTCCAACCAGTGAGGTAAAGGCACATCTTTATATGATCATTATAGTTATCATAAAACAAGATAATAAAGTAAACAGGTATAAAATACTATATGACAGTAAAAAAAAGTTGTTATTAATAAACAAGAATACAGTTTAAAAGGAGAGTGTTTTGTAATATATCTATAAAGAAAAAGTAAATCTGCTTACAGTTCTGTTTCATATGGGTGTTGAGAGATGTTTCCATAGATCTCTTCATTTTTGCTCCCAAAGTGCACCAGATTGATGCTTTCAACTTCAATATTTTAAAAAAAATCTTCCCGGGGGAGCAAGCCCCCGGACCCCCCTAGAGGAGGTTAGGTCCCCCCCACTTAAATCATGTCCATGGATAGGAAACTAAATACATTTGCACACATCTTGTGTCCATATCTTTCTGTTTGGTGGTCATGCCACAACCGTGCACGTGCCTGCATGCGCGAGTCATGGCAAGATATCTGGATTAAGAGGTTGCTTTTTCTTTGCACAGCATGAAAGAAAGGCCAAATGAATGTGCTGTGATTTTTAAGCAGAGGTCAATCATTTATACGGCCCTCGGAGGATGTTGAAAAAATTGAAATGGCCCTTGAGAGGAAAAAGGTTCTCCACCCCTGTGCTAAGTAAATGAATGTAGTGGACTATAGAAGTACAATATTTGCCTTGAAATGTAGTTGAGTATAAGTGTAAACTAGCAGAACATTTAAATTCTTAAAGTACCTCAAACATTTTTATTTAAGTACAGTAGCCTACCTTAGTGAAGTTACTTTACTTGCCACCACTATGTTTACCCGCGACATTAGAGCAGAGTCTAGTACAGACAACTGAAGCCGAAGTTCGCCCCCATTTATAATTGGAGTTGAGCGAATCGTAACAAGGGCAGGGAAATGTTACATTTATGCAAATGAGGAAGACGTTAGTTCGCTTGGACCCCTGTTGTTTCTCTTCTTTTTTTTTTAAACCGTTGATATTTTTTTTTTAAACTGACTAAAGTCTCAGTTTGAAATGACGTTAAGTAGGTACTCTACCTGCTGTGAAGACGTTTATATTATCTTTAAACATTACACACACAAACGAATTGTTGTTGTTTGGCCAAACGTCACGTTAATTATGGGAGAAAGTGCTGTTGGCATACTTAAAATGTTTGCTAATGAGCAAGCTAACTCACTTGCTAGCTTGTGACCGTTAACGGCTACAAGCGTCAGGGACGATATTTCGATTTGTGTTTCTTCCTGTGGGACATTCGGTAAGAATATTAAAAGTTATTTTATTTTCACAAAAAATCGAATTATTTAACTTTGGGTTTATTGGGGCAACCTGCGTTTTGGTTAATCGGTCCCTTATAGTAATAATAGGTTCCCAAACAACCTGTATCAAAATCATGAGGCCATAAATGACCATTTCAACTTTAGCACAAAGCCATAAACATGACTATTATACAATATAAGCTGTGGGCCAATGTGAGGACATTTAATGGATTTTGCAGTCAATATTCTCTTTTCCCAAGAAGCTATTTGCAGCTTTTTTCCGATAGTAAATCTGCGATTTGTCAGGCACGTAGCCTGCGTGTGACATAAGTGAAATGCACGTCTTTTTTATGCAAGAGACGACCGCCCGCCTGTTACAGAACCATTCATGAAAGAGTTAGTGTCTTTCCAGGGAATAAATCCAGCCCACTTCGGTCTCGCAGCCTCTTCCTCCTCCTCTTCCTCGGTGAGGGCTGCACAGCTGGCAATTTACAGAGAGTAACTAACGCTGGAAGGAGTAATTGGCTGCTTGGTGGACCACTGCCCCGCAAATTGGACCCTTGTTTGGTGGAGGAGATGAATTAGCTCAAGTTCTGGGATATTTATTCACCTTTCGTCCTTTAGGAACTTCTAGATCAGAAAGATTCAAGACCAAGCTCCCCCTCCTTTTCCACTGGAACCGTTATAACCTCCTCATACTGGAAACGTAAGGTATGGCTATACTTGTTTAGTTGTAGTTTGAAAGGAAGAGAATAGTGATTTTCCTGCAAAATTTACATTTTTTACAAAGTTATCATGCTGTGTTTCTATAGTTGAAAGAACAAGGTACACTATCTGAGTATTAACTTCTACCTGATATATTGTATTTAAAGTATGTACTACTTTGATAACTCTGTTAGGCATCAAAGTGCTTTAAAGCCCCATTTATAGTATGTATATTAGTAAAACAAACCTTCACTTTTAGGAAGCTGAATATTGAAGAAAAATGTGAGGAATGTTGCAACAGGAAACTAAATGTGTTTCAAAGCCAAATATTGACTTGGGAAAATATTCTGAAGTGTTTTCACAGAAATCACTGCTGCTAGATGTCTTGTTTGGTGTACTCAAATGTGTTGATAGAACTTTGCAATAATCATGTATCATTGGGGTAAATATGTTTAGTTAGGATCGAAAATGAACTCCTCACACTCACAATATATGGGTTTTGGCCTGGATGCTCTGTAGCATCTGTTTTCCAGAAAATAAGTGGTGAAAGGGTGCAGTGGTTGGGTTTTTCTGATTCTTTAACAATCGGAAAGGATTACCCTATTATTATGGTGATATTGTTTAATGTTTGTGTTTACATCCCAATGCTACAGTTGGAGATTTGGATGTGGACAAAACAGTAAAGTGGATCAGAAAAAACAACAAAGCATTGCACTTTCTCTTTCTAGGAAATGTTTGACCACCACGTGTTTCCATTTCGATTTGTTCCCCTTCTTTATAGTGTCTTATCCCTTATCTATAATTCAGGTTCTTACATCATCCATTGTATTCCTGTTAATGTGGATCATGCACATATCTGCTTTTTCATATAAAGTTCCTATGAGGTCAAATACATGTTGTGACAAGGCAGTTACATTTTTTCTTTGCATTAGTCGTAGTTTGACAAAAGTTGTATGTTTGTTTTGGTGGGAATGTGTGCATTCAGTGTCTCATTAAAAGACTTTGTGATGACCGAAGTGTTCTGTATGTTGTGCTGGAGAACTGCTGCTGCTGCTTGTTGATTTGAGACTTTCACAAAACCTGATCCATGAGCTCATTGGTATGGAGAGTCCCTGCTTCAAAGTGTGTGTGTGTGTGTGTGTGTGTGTGTGTGTGTGTGTGTGTGTGTGTGTGTGTGTGTGTGTGTGTGTGTGTGTGTGTGTGTGTGTGTGTGTGTGTGTGTGTGTGTGTGTGTGTGTGTGTGTGTGTGACAAAGCAAAGGCTACAAAAGCAATAATGAAATGTTTTAAATGGTGGCGTGGCTCAGAAGACAGACTGTGTCGGCGTTGCAAACTTGACCACTTTTTTTCTAATTTAGCAACTATTTGAGCTAGTGCTGCTATCTTCTTTCATTGGGAAAGGGTTGGCCAAACTCGGCTGGGGTTTTACATTTCAAAATCCACCATACTCTTCATATATTTTCAAGGATTACCAACACATTGTGGCTCAGCCTTAAAAGCCCCTGCAGACTAAAGCTTAGTGTGAACGCGTGTGTCCTTCCATACTCTGTGAAATTGGACTCAGACTGCGCAGTCAGTCTCAGACATGTTTTGGAAAGGGCACCTTAAGTTTGTGGTTTCTGTACAAACACATCACACTACTGTATGTGTGTCTCTGAAGGAACAACCCCCTACAACAGTGCCCTACAGGAAGGTTTAAGAGAGCAGGGTGAACATTTTGTGGGAAAAAGGTAGCTTGTTGTATCAGAAAATATGATGACTAACCAATAGGAAAAAGAAATCCTGAAACTAGCACGACAACCATGAATAAAACTGAACAACAAAGCTGCTTAAAAGAGGAAAAGTTTCCAGTCAAAGTGCAGCTGTTGATATCAATAATATAAACATTCATGTAACTTTTGTGGTCAGCATGATTGTGCCTAAGCATTTTTGGAATCTTCCCTGTTATTCTCCCCCATATCTGAGTCAAGTTAACACTAACCAGATGGTTTGAATCACATTTCATCAATCTTACTTTACTATGTACTGAGTGTTTTTCAGCCCCTCTTTCAGAACACTCCCGGTTTTAACTATAAGCTATTTGTATAAACGTTTCATTTAGGGGGCACCAGGGCTGTGGGACCCAAAAGGGTATTTAGGCAAACCGGAGGGTCATTTGAAGGGCAACTAGATGGGAACTTCAGCTGTTTCCCATCTGGTATGATCAAAACTGTACATAAAAGTTTTCAAAGATTGAGCAGATTTCTCCAGGTTAAACATACATTTGAAATAGGGGTGCGTTTAGACATTAAGAGCAGAAAGGGGAGACTTACCGGTCTGTATAAATGTTTTTATTGTCGACTTACTCTTTTCCTTTTTTTTATTTGCAGTTGTAACAATGGAGAAGTCAAGACGCAGGGAAAAGTTAGCAGTCTCTCTTTTGTTTGGGTTGTTGTTACCTTGCTGTTTGGCCCAGACCACACCATCAAACACAGCCACTCGGACCCCCACGCGGACCCCCACACCGTCTCCATCCCCGCAGACCGAACGGCTAAGGGTTAGATTGTCTGGATACCCCAGGAAACACAACGAGGGTCGGGTGGAGCTTTTTTACAAGGGAGAGTGGGGAACCATCTGTGATGACGACTTTGCGATAGCCAACGCCAATGTGCTCTGTCGCCAACTGGGCTTCGTGGAAGCCACAGGATGGACCCACAGCGCCAAATATGGCAAAGGCCAAGGTAAGAGTGACCTCAAACACTTCCTGATGTCAAGATTCTGACTTAATACACTGTGTGCTCTGTCATATGGTTATTTGGTGTTCAAAATGACAGGTTTGGATATACACAGAGGACCTTTAGATAATCCACTCATATCATTTTCTGTTAGTTATATTGTACTGTGAAGAACTGTCTGCCATGAGTGCCCAGAGCACCAACATTTCAAGCAACCAAGTGTCACTTCCAGGCCTGGAATGATTACTTTCCGCAGGCCTGGGAGTGTGCTGCAGTCTCACTGACAGTCTCCTGCCTGTCCAGGGAAAATCTGGCTGGACAACGTGCAGTGTAACGGGGGAGAGAGGAGCATCGACTCCTGCAAGTCTCGCGGCTGGGGAAACAGTGACTGCACTCACGATGAGGACGCCGGAGTGGTGTGCAAAGACGAGAGGATCCCCGGATTTGTGGAATCAAATGTTATTGATGTAAGTTGCTGAATTACATTTTTTTTGAAATCGTAATTTTGTTACAATACTGTTTTTGTGGTTTATTTGGTTAAGAATAAGATGCATTATTTTGTTTTGGTGTGACGTTATTGTTGTCTTTTATGCCAGTGCCAAAGACAACAATATACATTTTGTGACCACAAGCCTAATTTTGCTGCTGTAAAAATGAGGTTCATCATACAGGCTTATAATCTAATCTCCCACAGTTTATATACTGTCAGATTTAACCAGCATGGAAGTAGTTCAATGCCTCTTTGCCACCTGTAGCTGCTACACACATTCTGTTGATTAGCTCAGCTCTTTATGTGTCTGAGCCTGGCAAACGTACAAAATGTCCTTTTTAGCCCTCAATAAAAACATTTATAAAGGAGCAGTTTGGTGGTGTCTTGAAGTAGCATTGTTCCATCATTGCAGTCAGTTTTAAAACTCCATTAATATGGCTGACTGGTCCAAGGTGAACAAGGTTGGACCGGGGACTTGTTTTCAGACTCCTGGAAACAGCTTGAATGACTGGATATATGTGTCTCTGTTACATAGAAGGGTCTTATGAAAAAAGGTTTCATAAGAGTTAAGTGGGCAGACTTCCAGATGCAGAACCACTCTCACTCTATCCTGCCAGTTGCAGGCCCAGTGAAATGTGGCGTCCAGACTTTAATCTGTGACCACGAGCCAGTTTTGTTTCCAAATAAACCACAGCGGAAGTGACTCATTGCAAGGCTGAATCACGTTTACCACTTATGAGCTGTTTAGACCTAGAATTGTAGTCTGTAATGGCTGTGGCCCACTGTTTAGTCTGCTGCTCTCATTAAAGAGTCCTATAGAGACATGCTTCTGTGTGCATGCATGTGTCAGTATAATCTTTATGATCCATTAAGGACAATGTGATTTTCTAAGCATCCTTACCTCATTTAACTATCAATCATCAGTGTCCTTTTTTAACGAATTTACCTGCTTTGATTTTGAAGCAAATTTGAATCTGGAATTATTTATTATTATAAAAAAACATCTGATTGTTCTCCACTTTCTCCAAACAGGCTCAGGTGGATGAGAAACAGATAGAGGAGGTGCGGCTGCGGCCTGTAGTCACCACTGCCAGAAAGAAGCTGCCCATCACGGAGGGTGTGGTGGAAGTGAAATATAAAGACGGCTGGGCGCAGATCTGCGACCTGAGATGGACGATCAAAAACACTCATGTGATCTGCGGCATGCTGGGATTCCCGCATGAGAGGAAAGTCAACAAGAACTTCTACAAGTAAGATAATAGCTCGACTTCCACCAATAATATCTGATTCTGGTTCATGAGGTTAAAGCTGTGACTTTTTACACAGACAGCAAAGTAGGAATGGACTATTAGGTCTTCAAAATTGTAAAAGGATTGATCTAACCCTATATTTTGTAAATTTAGTGGAAATAGGCTGTTGCTCATCTACATGGTAACTTAAAGGTATAATTTGATATTTTGGAAATTTGAAATACACTCACTTGCTTTCTTGTTAAGATAAATAAGAAGATTTGAACAACTCTTGTGTATTTACAGTCAATTAGAAGCTACAGCTAGCAGCTTGTTAGTTTGCCATTAAGATAAGAAATGCCTATAACGCGAGTAAAACAGGTAAGGTGTGCTAACCAGCATGATAGGTGCTTCCTGTTTTACTGTCAATGCCAAGCAAAGCTAAACTGGCTTGCCGCTGGTGATGGCCTCATATTTAAAAAAAAAAAAAGGATATGACAGTGGTTAAGATGCATAATTGTCATGTGCAGTTTGCCTTATGCAAGTGCCCAAAACAAGTTTCCAGTTTATGCAAATCTAAGAGACAATAAAGTATTCTAAATCGGGGTTAGACTCAGATGTGCATAACCCAAAATGTGGAATTACGTCATCTCAAACAAAGGGGCAGTCTAATCGTTTTGTGTACGCAGCTACATTAAACTATTAGATCTTTCTTTGCTTCCATGAACCAGCAGAGGGAATTAGGCCACTTTGCTCTGACGATGTAACTTTCTCCTTCACTCGGGATGATTCCAGCCTGTTTGACATTCCTGGGTTTTAGTCTGTAAAACAAAGTGGCAACAATGTAACCGAACCACAAGCAGGATTTGTAGACATTGTTCCCTAAAGAGTGGACATTATAGGAACTTCTGTTTACTGAAACCTTTTCTACCATCTGCCAGAACTGCAGCTGAACAACAAAGCACATGATGATTGTTCTCTTCCATGTGCCTCTTGATATACAAAAAAACACAACCTTTTTTTGTATGTCTTGGTCAGGTCACATATTTCATATTCTTGGTTTGTTTTATCACTTTAACAGGACGTGCCTGCAGAGATGGAAAAGTGCAACCAAAGTGTGTTTTGTCCATCATGTTTTTCATCTGCAGGGCTTTCTTTGGCACTGATAGTTAAGAAAAGACTATTAACAGACAACACACTTATATATATATATATATATTTGTTTTTATATTGGGAGGGATGAAACCCTCTTTAATGGTCACACATGCAGAGCACACACAGTGAAATGTGTTCTCTGCTTTTAACCCATCCTAGTACCAGGAGTCTAGTACTAGTAGGAGCAATGGGAGTGAAGGGGGAAGGGGGGTGTCCGGTGCCTTGCTCAAGGGCACCACAGCAGGGCAGGAGGTGAACTGGGACCTCTCCAAGTAGCAGTCCACACTCCATTTTTAGGTCTAGTCGGGGACTTGAACCGGCGACCCTACGGCTCACAGTCCAATCCCCTACTGACTGAGCCACTGCTGCACTTTATTATCAATGAGGGATTGATACTTTTTGCATCATCATTCTCTTCATTTCACTGATAAACATTATAATATACTAGTTCATATTGCCATTTTAATACAATTGTAGTTATTCACCTTGTGATTATATTAGAAAGAAAAATGTTTTCTCTCTCGATCTACTAATCCTAAAATCAGCAAATTGTTTCAGCCATGAATGAAAATAATTGTTAGTTGTTGCCCTAAAATCAGGATCTATATTAGGTACGTCTTATATGTTATGTGTAATATTGCACACTTGGGCAGAAACCAAACATTAAAAGGTCAGGTTACAACAATGTACGAAACTATATTGACTTTAGACAAACCAGTGATATTTTAGGTGCACTTGCAGACCTCCACTTTTTTTACCGAGTTTGTTCTTCCAGTATGACTGCACACATTCCTGGCTGCCCTCCAGCTGAAGCAGTTTTATTCAGATGGTTCACAGTAGTCTGAGGGGAAATGTGTGTTTTCTCTCAAATGTGTGTGAAGGCTGAGGCTCAGGGGAATGATCCGGGTTTGGGGCGAGAGGTCACATAATGAACAGACAACAACGACTGGAAAGAAGCCAACATACATTAACCAACAGTCAATCTGTTCTGTGTTGTCTGTCCTTATTTAGTCTTTTTGGGTTACATAGTCTAACAGGGGCTGAAGATGGAAAACCGACTTTTCACAATTGTTTTAAAGTTGAATCCAGGTTTACATTTTACTGTATTCCTTGAAATGTACATACAGAGACAATAATCTTTAGATACTGCATTTTGTAGGTGTAAAATACCATCTGTGTTATTCAGGTCATCCAGTTTCTTTACTTCGTTAAGGCATGCTTAAAGTTTAGTAATTTGCTTGGTTGATCTGGCTTGATCAGTAGATATATAATTGGGTATCATCTGCATAAAAATGAAAGTTTATGGAGTCATTTCTTATATTGTTTACGAAGCATATGTACTGTATATATATTTATAGTGACTAAATACGAGACCTTTTTCTAATCGGTCTAAGTTCTATGAGCAACTTTGGCTTGCGTGGAAGATTCATCGTTAACACACACAAAACTAAGACCCTTCAGATAAAAAGGACTTAAACCATACCCAATTTCTGTCTGCATTAAAATAAGTATTCTGAAACCAGTACCAAGTTTAATGAAAAGGAGGATTTTCATGAGTCTTAATAGATTTTGAGGAATATTTAAGGGATTATCTTTGCCAAGAATGCACGAAGCAAGAGAGCTGGTCATATTTCTTCTCAAATACAATGAGGTAGAGAGCGCCAGCCATTAACACGTAGATACTGTATTTATTAATCAGTTGTAACGGCATGAGACTCAAGACAGCCTCCGTAGTTCTGAATAGTTGAAATGGTTCTGTAATTGTGATCATACCTCGTTGACCTGAAGTCTGTAACATGATATACTGGAGAACTTGTGGAATGTCAAAAATGTTATTCACCGCGGCGCTGACCCTCCAGTACTTCTTACCTTAAAGACATGTGTTTGGAGCCCAGAGACAGTATGTGTGTGTGTGTGTATATATTTGCAGACTGTGTATATGTGTGTGTTTGCATGTAGTCTCACTCCTCTATGTGATGAATTTGGATGTCTCACTGTTGCAGACGTCTGAAAAAGCGAGCAGCTGAGAAGGTCTCCAGGCCAAAGGTTAATGTTTCAGCCGGTGGAAGGTACACTGTCACCGGAAAACCCACCGTCTGCAAACTGTAGTTTAGACAGTGGGTTTCCTGTAGGTAGTAGACAATAACCATTTAGCGCCTCTCTTTAGCTAGTTGTCCTTTCTTTTTAATATCATAGTATCATGATGTGCAGCATGTGAATAGGTTCTAGATTTTAGTTATCTTGCTTAAAGTACCGTTTGCCTTGCTTGGATGTTGAGTTTTCTCATTATTTCTACAAAAAAACTCTTCTATTCTAACAACTGTATTGGATAAAAGTGAATAACCCACTAACATAGACTGTTTGTTGTTCATGATATTACCATTTAATATCATGCTTTAACTATTACACCTACCTCTAAAATCTAAAAGCAATGCCATACGCCAAACTAAATCAATGTGGTAACTTGAGGTTCACATTGGAACGATAGAAAAACTACAATCATGGTAGCCTATTTTTTTTACTAACAAACATAATGTTAATGATCATGCTTTACATGTCATACACTACATGGCCAAAGGTATATGGACAGCTAAACAGTAAAACCATTTGGTCTACTTCCAGTTCCTCGAGGTACATAGTCAGTGAGTTACAATAGATGGCGGTTTTGAAAAACAGACAGGAATACCAGCACGGAAAGCAAAACATAAAGCGATACATTATTTAGCTTTCTGCTGGTACTCCTGTCTGTTTCTCCAAACATCTACCTCTGCCTCTACTGTACTACTATAAGTGTAATTCACTGACTTTAGAAAAGCTCCGGTTACAACACCACTTAAAAAAATCTGAACTATTCCTTTAATAATTTTCCAAAACTACACCAGAGTATGTCGAAGATTGTCCACATACTTTGACCATGCAGTGTATATGGGTCTGTCATGATGAAACGTATCAAAATAACTTTTTATTCCCATTTGTGTTTATATACATATCTTTTTTGAATGGATGTGTCACCTACAACAAATCTGTGTGACTTTTAAGTATAACATACAATTTAAAAGTATACTGAAATGTGTTAAAGACTGTATTGTAAATGTTGAAGAGGGCACATCCTTTTGAAGAGTGTCATTACATTTAACATAATTGTGCATCATGTAACCTTTTGTTACTATGATTTTTTTCACTTTGTCACCTCATTTGTCTCTTCCTAACTGTGCGGTCTAACCCGTGTTTACCTTGCAGGCAGACACCCAAAGCTAAAGCTAACTCTAAGACTAAACAGAGCAGTCCTGGCAAAAGGTAATCTTAGGATAAACAGTTTGGTCGGTAAATAACCAAAACACTTCCAGAAGTCTCACAAACAAATGTCCTTTAGACTTCCCCAAAACAAGTGTAGACCCAACACCTCCAGTGCGAGCACCTGCCCTGAAATTGTGGTTGGTTTCAGAACAAAATAACAAAAAGCTTTATCCACCAAACTGTGACTACATATTAAGCTTTTGTTTTTCCTTTTGTTCAAAGTATTCATATTAATTTAGACAATATCTTTGGTAATTTGTGTGAGGATGATGTTATTCTTACTATAACATGAGCAGGTGGTGGGTGTGCATGTTTGTTCCTTTGTAGATCAGGAGCTACGTCATTCATTTATTTGTGTGGTCTTTTTAGTTATATATCTGTTTTAGTTTTTTCAGATTGTCATATTGTTAATTGTCACTGTCTACTTTTAATGCTAGTAACGCATCATTTCATTTATTTAATCATTTGCATTGTCCCAAATCTAAAACATATACTAATTCGATGAATGTTTTGAGTTTGTAGTGTGGTAAAACCAAGAGACAACAATTAGTAATGTTATTTGCTGTTAATGGAGATGCTGCTCACAGCTGAACAGAAATGATAATACATTTTGATTGGTGCTGAACATCTTAAAAAAAAGTTACAAAACTGAAAAAATTACTATTTTAGTGTCTCTTGCCAAAGTTTATTTAGATATTGATATTTTAGTTTATACAGCATACTATAGTGATAAGTATATAATACACATTTGGTATGGATTTTGGACACAGTACATTTTTTCAGACTTCACAGTCCCTGTCTCTGCTTCCTCCAGGTTGTATTTGGAGCGTCAGAAGAATCACTTCCACGTCCACTCGGTAGCGTGTGCAGGCACAGAGATCCACCTGGCAGCCTGTCCTCTGGAGTTCAGCAAGCCCAACGCAACGTCCAGCTGCGAGGGTGGCATGCCGGCCGTTGTCAGCTGCATGCCGGGGCCGCTGTTCATTCAAAACAACGGCTTGAAAAAGAAACCTAAAATATCGGTAAGGCAGCTCGTTTTTCACATTTTGACTTGTCATTGTAGGAATAAAACACAGCTGTAACATATAACATGTGTCCCAATAAGCCATGACAGTGAGCTAGCATGCCAGTATGAGAAACCTGAAGCACCTTTGAGCCTGTAGCCAATATTTATTTATTATTTGCACCTGTGCTTTTTCCGTCAAAATGTACTCTGGAAGTTAACGGCAACAAATATCTTCAGGTTTTCATTTGTTTTATCAGAATCAGAATTATTACCTATTTATTACCAGGTAGGTTGACACGTAAGAGGAATTTGACTTGTTGTCATGGTGCATACATAAAAGTAAAACAAAAATTAAAAAACACAGATAGAGAAGCATTTTAAGAAAACTATAATAACATTATAAAATATTAAAAATAATAAAAGATATTGCTGCACGATGTCCCCTTTCTTTACCTTTCCAGTCTTATCTGTCCTGTCTCCACATATTGGGCAAAATTGCAAATAAAATCCTCTGTATATATATCTCCATTACCCAGTTATTAATATTATTACCCAATAATAGCCAAAGAGCCAAATGATTGCCAATGTTGGCCAGTCTGCTCATACTAACTTTAACGTGTGTACTGGTTTTCCAGAACAACGTGAGGCTGAAGGGAGGTGCCAAGCTGGGTGAGGGTCGGGTGGAGGTGCTGAAGGGCAACGAGTGGGGCACGGTGTGTGACGATCGCTGGAGCCTGCAGTCGGCCAGCGTCGTCTGCAGGGAGCTCGGCTTCGGCAGCGCCAAGGAGGCTCTCACCGGAGCCCGCATGGGACAAGGTAAGGAAAAACACTGTATGACTTCATGACAACATCTAAACTCTCACTTAAAGGTCACCTATTATGCGAAATCCACTTTTTCATGTCTTTTCTTCATCAACATGTTTCCCCTCTGTGTAAAGAGATTCGGAAAGTTTCCGAATAAAAAGATTTGCTCTCTTTTTGTCCTGATCCATTTCTATAAAAACCTGTCTGAAAATGAGCTGATCAGATTTTGGCCACTTTATGATGTCATAACGATTTTTTGGCTTGTGTAACCATTAGCCAATCAGCAACCAAGGTAATATTCTCAAACAAAACTAAAACGTTTGGGAACCACTGATGGTTGGAGTTAAAGACGTTGTAGCTTCAGACAAAAGTCCAGTGATAAGTGGAAAGGAAGTAGTCAACCTGTGTTTGAGATGAGGCTCAAAAAATATTGGGAAATTCAACCAAAGTGTGATTTGGCACGCCTTCTGAAGAGGCAGCGCTCCATCCTGTACAAAGGTCCAAAGGTTTGCCCTGCATTCATAGATACGTTTCCATGTCAGCTAACCTCTCAGCTCTACTAACTGAGGTTTTACTTGTCCAGTGATGGTTTATAATTTAAAGTGATGCAACCATGATGAGATGCTATGGACTTCAATACAAATATAACAGACACGCTTGAATATGACAAAATGGTTCAATTGTAATTGACACATTTCCGCAAGCAAAGCCAATTCTGCGATTTGCATTCAATCCCTCTTAACTGCTGAAGTGTATAACTGTCCTCAGGTCAGTCATCAGCTGTCCATCTACAGTCTGTCTTTTCTCTCAGGTCATCTCTGACAATCTGTTCTCAAAAGGAGGGCACATTCCTGAACTGATTCCTCATTTGGAGCTTATTTTAATAAGTAAAGGAATGTTGTGCATGAAGAAAGACAAGAAACAAAGGCATGAAAGAGGATTTGGAACATTTCATGAATTTTATAAATCCATCTTGTGTCTGGATAAAATTGTATTAAACGCATTATGATAAGTATTACAATATTTGTCTTAGTGTGTGTGTTTGTCTTGAGAACATGGAGGTATGTGTAGTTTTATGTAAACTGCCCGGAGATTCCACTAAAGAAGAAACAAACGGTCTTTTGAAGGGCATTTCTCGGGACCGCTGGGTGGGGATGTCTTCTTTCGTGTGTGTACATCAGGATTTCTACCACAGAGGAAGTTGGGGGAAGAGACTCTTTCAACCTTCTCTATGCTCAGAGACCACCTGGTTGAATTAATCTGGGAAACTTTCCTTAACGTCACCTCAGAAATGTCAGAATACAATCAGCTCATGGTGCAGTGATGGAGTGAGTTTAGTGGGTGAATGTAAACCAGGGTGTCGCTGACGGGGAACATGCATGCTCAGCAAACATGCCTCAGGCTAAAAAGTGTTGTATGTAGTTTGAAAGGCATTCAAGACTGGATCCCCCATAACTTGTAGTTCTTTGTGGAAACATATACAAATTAAACATTACAGCAATACAAATTTGAAAAACCTCAATTTAAAAATGCCTTTTTGTGGCTTTTTATGGTCTTTACTAAAATGCATTTAATTTTGTATCCATGAAATTGTACATATTAAAGATGAAAGAAAATTGCTACAATGGAGTTTTTGAATCAAACTCATCTGTTGCCTGTGACATTTTGATTTAGTTTGGCGGTTAAATTAAACAGTGAATTCACCTGCACCCAATTTTTCATAAAGCTTTGAAATGTGCATGATTTGTACTTTTCCCAGTTGTACCCCATTACAACTTACTTTATTTTGAAACACCTATTTGTTATTAATTAATATAATAGATTTTTAAATGACCTAATTCAATTAATCTTCATCTGATAGAAGTAGAATCTTAGTATACACATATCTTATATCTGAAAGTCAGGTTTTGTCAGCTTTATATGTATTGTTTACTCAAGGAGCTGTAAATATAAAAGTGGAGAGAATGGATCCAGACCATCGCTTCGCTTTGAACTTAAAACTAAATCCATAAAAAAGTTGACCATCTTTCACTTTAAAGCTCATTTCTGTCTTTCTGTACAGGAATTGGTCCGATCTACATGAACGAGGTGAAGTGTGTCGGCCAGGAGAGATCCATCTGGAACTGCCCCTTTAAAAACATCACATCGGAGGACTGTCAGCACGTGGAGGACGCGGCTGTCCGCTGCAACGTGCCCTACATGGGCGTGGAGCACTCGGTCAGAGCTGAACCTCTTTACTACAACGTTCATCTTTAAACTGTGCTTCAAATTTGAGGAAGAGTTCGAAAACTGATTGAATGGTTTATACTGTTATTACACTATGTATTGCATTAGACAGTACAAGAAATTATATAGATTACTTGTGAATTTCTTTTTTACTTTCTTACGCTTTCATGAATGTAGCATAGGCAAACACATTATAATGTCTTGTCTTGTATTTCCTTTTTTTCTTGCTCTAAAATTCCTTTTGGTTTTCCCTAACTTGAGATTTAGACCAGAGAAATCTCAAATGTTTCTCACAACCAATGCTTTTTCACTGCTTTCACAAAAAAACATGACATTTTGTTCAATATATTCTAAACCAGGTCCGTAGCTTGAAACCCGCTCAGCTCCGAATTAATTTATGGTTTAGAAATTAATGAACACAAAGTATTTTTTTGGGACAGCAGCAATTTCCTTTTAACACAGAGTATTTCTGGTTGTGCAGTTTGTATTTACCCAAATCATACTCTATTCCATGTTTCCTTTGGATACACATTCAGGCTGGATTTAGTGGAATGAAAAGTCTTCCCTTTTATCTTTATGATAGTTTTCAATTCGACTTACATGCATTTAAACCATGTTACATTTCAAATGTAAAATAACAAACCTTCCAGAGATAAAGGTAGACTTTCTATCCAGCCTGGCCCTTGTGTATCTATGCTCTGCTTCCTGGTCTCTAACCCTCGGCCCCGCACAGATCCGGCTCGCAGGAGGACGGACCCGTTACGAAGGCCGTCTGGAGGTGCTGAGCTTGGACTCTAACGGGACGCTGAGCTGGGGTCTGATCTGTGGAGAGACCTGGAACACCAGGGAGGCCATGGTGGCCTGCAGGCAGCTGGGCCTGGGCTACGCTAACCAGGGCGTGCAAGTAGGTTACTAACAGCACTAAAGCAAACCTCCTGCAGCAGAGCACAGCTGCCTTTTGGTATATTTGACATGTGCAAATATACCCAACTGAATACAGTTAGTGCTTTGCATATGTGTTCAAATATATCCAATACTTCTGTGTTCAGTCACATATTACCTTATATGTGTAGCATACTAAAACCTGTTATTAGAACTGGTAACACATTCAAACATAGTTCTTAAACTATCGTGCTACATTTTGGTTCACATGGTTTGAACTATCCCTTTAATGTCTGACAGTAGATTATACGTTTCATATTGGGGTAGAAGCTACTTTTCCTACATGGAAGAACACGATACTGTTGTGGTCTTTTTTATGTGGGCTGTCAAACCAGACTCACATGAAGTTTCTAATCAAACTCAAAGCTACTCACCACTCGAGCTGAAGTGGTGACCTCAACTGGAAAACACTCTCCCGCCTAGAAAATCTAACCAAAACTGCTGCTTCAATAAACATTGTCCACTTCTGGAGGACTGTATATGATGTTAGCTTGAGCCCAGACAGTTCAGAGACAGGACAGGAAGTGTGTCCCGTCACTGACTCCCAGCAGGGCCTTTCTGCAGATCCGGATAGTGGGCGGCCGGACCACGTATGAGGGCCGGGTGGAGGTTCAGGTGGGCTCCAAGTGGGGCACAGTGTGCAGCGCAGGCTGGACCACAAAGGAAGCCATGGTGGTGTGCAGGCAGCTAGGGCTCGGATACTCCATGCATGCCATCACTGTAAGTAGGACAAACAAAGAATGAAGAGATTTGTTCTTCTGTGAGAAGTGGAACAAATGTATTCGTAACAGGATGAGATGCTGTGGTGAAAGAAGTTTCCAGATCTTTACTAAAGTCAAAGTAGCAATCCAACAGTTTAAAAACAATCGTTATACAAAAGTTTCCATCCAAAATCCTAAGAAAAAGAACTAAATCACTTCAATGTTGCATTTGTTGAAGGTGGGGTTTATTCTTAATACTTCATACACTGCTGGGTATAAGGACTGTTTTTAATATTTCAATATCTGCAGAACTTTTTCCTCCTGCAGTGATCATAAACTGATTGTTACACTGTCATCATCCTGCAGCCATAAACGAGTCCTGAACATCTACTGTTTTCAACATCTAACTGAACTCTCTGAAAGGCTCTTTCCTGATCGATGCACCGTGTTTCTCTCTGTTTGCACGTTTGTCTATCCCCATCTAAGGAGACCTGGTACTGGGACAGCAGCAATGTGACGGAGATGATAATGAGCGGCGTGAAGTGCACAGGAAACGAGATGTCTCTGAGTCAGTGTCAGCACCACAAAACAGTCAGTTGCCAGAAAGCAGCGGCAAAGTTTGCAGCAGGAGTCATCTGCTCTGACAGTGAGTGACAGAAACTAAAGGAAAAATATATATAATATACATATTATATAATTGATTATCATACTTGATTCCAGATCTAAAGATTCAAAGGCTTTATTGTCATATGCACAAAAGGTACAACGTAGTTTTGGTAATGAAAATCCGAAGTCCCAGGCTTCTTTCACAATGCAACATACTATACTTAAGACACAGAAAGAATACAATTGTGACATAATGATTCACATAATAAACAGGAATAAGAAAAACAAGATAAAACAGAAATAAAAGTAAATAAGGTACAGTCAAATAAATACTGTATACTGAGTAAATGCAATCCATTATAATATGAATACTCCTCCTGTGTGCAGCGGCCTCTGATCTGGTTCTGAACGCGTCGCTGGTCCAGCAGACGGTCTACATCGAGGACCGTCCTCTGCACATGCTCTACTGCGCTGCGGAGGAGGACTGCCTCTCAAAGACGGCAGCGCAGGCCAACTGGCCGTACGGTCACCGCCGCCTGCTGCGCTTCTCCTCCCAGATACACAACATCGGCCGAGCTGACTTCAAGCCCAAAGCTGGGCGACACTCCTGGGTCTGGCACGCCTGTCATGGGTAATGTTGTCTTCATTTAACAGGTCTTAGAATACACACCCATTATTGCTCTTCATCTTTTTTCATCCAGAAATACATCAGATTTCATGGGATATTGCCGTTTCTAGCTTTTTGGGGGCCCTATGCAAGATGCTGTTTGGAGGCCCTATTTTTTCCAAACTACAATGGGGGGATTCCGAAGCCTTTAAGATGATCTGTGGAGATGCATCAATCTGTTATACTTTAAGAGGAAAACAGGCTAAATTTACGAAAACCAAGCAATGTTTAATTTACATTTTTCATCTTCCTCAGACGCCATTCATTGGGTGACAGCCCAACGATGATTTTGACTTTATTATTCCACAAATACAAGCCGCAGCTTTGCTATCATTGCAGTTTAGTTGTGTTTATATCCTACATTTGATTTTTAAGCTTAATCCTTCACTGTCTACAAATACAGACGGCTAATTTTAATTCTCCCCAAATGTATTGAGGCTGGACCTGAACTTTCAGCTTGGGGGCCCCCTAGTGGCCGCGGGGGCCCTATGCATCCACATAGTCCGCCAATAGGAAGAAACGGCCCTGGGATATTTGGTTCTCTACTTTAAGTGTAAACATTGTTTTTGAAGGGCGTGGAATAAAATTGTTTAGGAGATGCTAGTTTACAGATTTGAAATGAAGATTTTTTTTATTTTGAAATTGTCTCTGTATTTTACAGCCACTACCACAGCATGGACATTTTCACCCACTATGATCTGCTGAGCGGAAACGGTACCAAAGTGGCCGAGGGACACAAAGCCAGCTTCTGTCTGGAGGACACAGACTGTCAGGAGGGTGAGTCTGATCAAAACAAATTCAATTTTATGTTAATAGCACAATATTACAAACTACAAATGTGCCTCAATCTATGCAACAAAACACTCCCTTTGTCCTTAGACGGCTTAATTCAAAACTAAGTTAATCATTTTGCCCCTCAGGTGTTTCTAAGCGCTACGAGTGCGCCAACTTTGGGAATCAGGGCATCACTGTGGGCTGCTGGGATTTGTACCGTCACGACATCGACTGCCAGTGGATCGACATCACAGACGTCAAACCTGGAAACTACATCCTGCAGGTGATCACGTTCACAAAGCAAATACCACAATAATGTTTGTGTAATGTACTGTTGTGTTTTAATCTCTGTGATTGTCTACCCTGTTACAAAAATGTTTTTTTATGTTTCTACACAGATTGTGATTAACCCAAATTACGAAGTGGCTGAGAGCGACTTCACCAACAACTGCATGAAATGTAACTGCAAATATGACGGACATCGAATCTGGCTACATAACTGCCACATTGGTAAGCAGTCAAAAAAAACGACCAAATTAGTAAATGTTGTAAGTGGTGCTCGTTTTCGGATTATTGTTTGTTATTTTATCAATATTTCTATCGTTTATACAACTTTAATGGGCCCAGATACTTGTGATTGTATTAGTATTCAAGTAAATACATATTATTGTTGCTTTCTTCATCCCTACAGGTGATGCATTCAGCGAGGAGGCAGAGAGGAGGTTTGAGAAATACCCCGGGCAGCTCAATAACCAGATTCCTTCAATAAATCAACAATAACTTCCCGACATATGCGCCCCAGAGTCGGGGAATAAAAACACACTTTACAGGTTTAAAAACAAAAGACAAACATTTGTATTTTCAGGTTAAAAACTGGATTTCCTCACATATCATTCGGAGTTATGGAAGAAGCCAACAGTATTTTCCTGGGGTGAATGTCTTTTTATATTATACTTGAATATTCAAGTTTTTTTTGTTTTTTTCTCAGTCTAATGTGAGCTATATTTTTTATTACAAAAAATTAAGAATGTTATGAATGTTCAGAGTTATGGGTGAAGCATCTTTATGAAGATATATTTGTCTAAATGTTATACAAGTTAGCAGATCAACAAATAGATAGTACTATTCAAACAATTTTATAATACCAGTAACAAACCGTAACACACCTGCCTCCACACTATTTATTGCTTAAATCGGTGCTCAAGAACACTTAGCATTGTTGTCAGTTTTCCATCTGCTTTAGTCTTGATGTAGTGTATTATTATTAATAAAAGTAATCTAGGGTTTGAATGTAGATGTTATCGGGCAAAAAAAAAAAAAGTACACTTACCCTCAACAATGTCTGAATGTAAGCTGATGTTCACAACTGCTGCACCGAATAAAGAGGAGAGGAATACACATTGTGCTGCACCCTTTTTGTTCAACTTATTTAAAAAATAAAATGTTGGTGGGTTCCTGGAGGTTTAGGGTTTCCGTTTTCAACACTTTTGGCCATGTTTTCTACTTTGGGGTCATGACAGTTCAAACCCCAGATTATAATCAGGTTTCTCGATAAATAGGTTTTTCACAGAGGAAATGGGTTTAGTTCATAAAAACATCATAAGAAAAAATGAAAGAAATATGTTATTGAAGTGTTTTCAGTAAAACTGTCTTTTAAACAAAAATATATAAAATAAGGTTCTGTACATGCATTACCTCACAAGAAGTACAACACCAAGAGGAAAGTATTACATTATTATTACATTACATTACATTGCATTTAGCTGACGCTTTTATCCAAAGCGACTTACAATAAGTGCGTTCAACCAATAAGATACAAACTTGAAGAAAACAGAATCATATAAGTACATCAGGTTTCATAGAGCTAAAACATTTCAAGTGCTACTCAACTGGCTTTAGATAAGCCAGTCCTTTATTAGTACATAAGTGCTTTGTTAGTAATTCTATCGCTTGAAGTGGAGTCGAAAGAGATGAGTTTTCAGTCTGCGCTGGAAGATGTGTAAGCTATCTGCTGTCCTGATTTCAATGGGGAGCTCATTCCACCATTTTGGAGCCAGGATAGCAAACCCACGTGTTTTTGCTGATGGGAACTTGGGTCCCCCTCGCAGTGCGGGTGCAGCGAGCCGTTTGGATGATGCAGAGCGGAGCGCACGTGCTGGGGTGTACGGTTTAACCATGTCCTGGATGTAGGAAGGGCCAGATCCATTCGCAGCATGGTAAGCAAGTACCATTGTCTTGAAGTGGATTCTAGCAGTTACCGGAAGCCAGTGAAGTGAGCGGAGGAGCGGCGTGGTGTGGGAAAATGTAGGAAGGTTGAAGACCAGACGAGCCGCTGCATTCTGGATGAGCTGCAGAGGTCGGATGGCACATGCAGGTAGACCAGCCAGGAGGGAGTTGCAGTAGTCTAGGCGTGAGATGACGAGAGCCTGGGCCAGAACCTGCGTCGCTTTCTGGGTCAGGTGGGGACGTATCCTCCTGATTGATTGATTGATTGATTGAAAAGTTTATTAACAGCTTGTATATTGGGTACAGTACAGTACAGCTCAAAACATACAATTGTTAAGGGGATGCAGACCAGAGAAAGACTTTCGTCTTGTTTACATCAGGGTCCCCCATTTCCAATTCATCCTGATGTTGTAAAGCGTGTATCTGCAGCAGCGGGTTGTAGCAGCGATGTTTGTAGTGAAGGACAGTTTGTTATCTAGGGTCACACCCAGATTACTGCGGTCAAGCCAGCCTCCACTCGGGGAAACCTAGTCAAGCCAGCCCGCACGTGATATTGCGGTGCTGGAATATCCTATGCATTACGGTCAGCGGCGCCGGATTCATTTCAGAAGTGGGGGGGGGCAAAAAGTGCGTGTGTATGTGACATAGCCTACTTGCCAACCCTCACGATTTTCGCGGGAGACTCCCGTTTTCCTCCCGGGGTCATATTTATCCCGTATTTCTCCCGATTTCTGACTAAATCTGATTTGTTTCATTCTAACATAACGCACCAAATGTTACTGTTTCCACTCGGACTTCAATACAGCTACACCATTGTTTGGTTTCCATGGTAACGTGTCTCTTTAGTAGCGCGACAAATGAAAGTCTGAGAGGGTCTTCAGGAGGAAGATAGTCAGAGAAAACAGAACAAGAATGGACAACTCAACCCTCTGCTCACTCCTTTCCTGTACATGAAACTATACAGACCAGCCCACATATGACAGCGCAGTTGCTCATTCCATCTCTTCTTTTTTCCTGCTACGCTCTTGTTTGACAAGCTGAATGTTGACTGGTGTTTGACTGAAGTAAGCTCTGTGAAAAGTTCCAGTTATTAACTCGGTATTTACAAAGCTGTCATCTCCACATTTGGAGAAAGTTACAAGCCGTTTGACAGCATCACATCTGCATATTTCACAGAAGGCTCGTTTAGTGGTTTTGCAAATAATTAACCACTCTCTGTTTTTGTACCATTCTGCATTGAAGTACCTTCTCTTTGCCCAAATAAGCTTTTATTGGCCCGTCACAATGTCCCGACAACAAACCTCCATGCAGTCGGAACCAGCCTGTTTCGGTTCAACGATGCCGGCGGCGGCGGTTTTGACAGCCTCTGCGGCCGCAGAGCTGCTGCTGAGGTTCATCTGGCTGCGCTGGTTCTATGGTTGAAGGACCAGGCTCCGGAGCTGGTTCTGTGGTTGAAGGACCAGGCTCCGGAGGTGTGGATGTCAGGGATGTGACATTCAATTTGTTTAATTTCAGCTTAGTTTGACTGTATTTTGTTTTCTTATGCGCCGGTTCTTCTGACATGTTTGCAAGTTTATCTATCTAGGCTAACGGCTGACACACACTGAACAACGTAACGTAAACAACGTAACAAATAAACACATCTAAGCTTTGTTTTTGGTTGTAATGTACATGGATACATTTGAATGGTGTGACAATGTCCTATTTGATTGGATTAAAATGTACATATTCTTCCTGTTATGTCTGCCTGCTGTATTTTACCTAATGCAAAGTGACCTGCTCCATCGAAATCAGTCGCATTGATCCGAAGACACATTTTGAGTTGTATACACTGTTGGAAAGAGGAGATTCCTAGCTTTCTAATGATATCAGGATTGTTTTTGTACTATATTAAGCAAAATATGTCACATTATATAATGACTGTCACCGAGTCATCATTTTGAGAAAAAGGCCTTAAAGTTTCCTCTTCTCTGGATCGATCTGATTGATTATTAGCGGAGCAAATGATCAAAGTAGTACGGAGGGAAGATATTTTCGTTTGGATTACTGGTCTGGGGGGAGCTCGCGAGTGTGTGTGTGTGTGTGTGTGTGTGTGTGTGTGTGTGTGTGTGTGTGTGTGTATACGTGTGTGTGTTTGTGTATTTTTGCGTTTGTTTCCCGGGGAAAACTCTCAGGAGAAACACCGGCTGTTGTTATGCTTGCTGTGACGTCAAGTTACTCCGTTCTCTGCTTGTAATTATGCCGTTAAAAGCTTCAAAGCTGTATTTATCATCTGAATTTGCCGAAACAAGTTTAATATTCTGAAAGCCAAGACTTTGTTTATTTGAAATCAGATGAAAACAAACTGTAACGGACCCTGCGGTGTTATCTATGATTACTATATGCCTTACATTCATAATGTCAGCGGAGGGAGGGGAAGCGGCGCTGTAGAAGAGCAGAGTGGCGAGTGAGAGGCGAGCTGTGTTCTTCCCTTTACATGCTTCAAAAATGCCTGTAGCTAATGAGATTGAATATAACAATCAACAAAAACAAAATATACAGAGCTAGATCAGATGGCGTTCTTTTTAGATGCGACTTTAGAGTAGAGGGGAATTATTGAAACGGGATGTGTACATGGTTCCGCGGCATCCGCTGCTGCGAAAATGTGGGGCAGGGCCGTAAAGTGGGGGGGCCAATGCCCCCCCCGCTTCCGGCGCCCTTGATTACGGTAGAGTCCTGGAAACACTGCCTCTGTGTTTAGATGAGAATAAAACAAAACTGTCCAGTATCAAAGACTCATCTCACACCAGGGTGATAGCAGGACACCCCATCTAGTCACTCAGAAAAAATCATGACATTCTGATGTACAGTTTCAAAATAAAAGACCTTTGAAGTCTCATATATGAGCTATCATCACTGTTTTTAGATGAGAATAAAACAAAAACTGTCCAGTATCAAAGACTCATTTCACTTCAGGGTGATAGCAGGACACCCCATCTAGTCACTTAGAAAAAATCAGGATCTGACAAAAAAAAAATCTGACAGCAGACTGCACACAGCGCTCCCTACAGGCCCAACGCTGCAACCGCAGAAACAAAGGATTCAATTGTGATGGGAAAAACACATTTGTCACCAAAATAAATAAATTAGATAAAGCACAGTCTATATAAAATAGTATAAAATTAACTTTAAGTTATTTACAAGAATATGTGTTACATTAACACACAGGGCTAATACTACTATAACTGCACAATTCCTCTATTTATAATTCAATTCATGTTTTTTTTCTCAGTCATTTTCCATTTTTTGTATATGTATCCCTTTTACACATTTTTAATTGTTTAATATATTTTCATCATTCATTTTTTTATGTATTCACCAATACGCCAAAGCAAATTCATTGTATGTGAAAACGTAGTATATGGTGAAAAATATGGAAAAGTATTAGTGTTCTGCAGAAAATTGTAATTGTTGAGAAAAAGAAAAAGAAAAAAGGGTTCTATTTTTTTATCCTATTCTGTTGAAAAAAAAAGTCTATTAAAGTGGAAACCAAGAAAACATGTATTTAATTTACAGACATTACATATCATGAGCAGACAGATATGATTAAAACAACATGTAAAGGTGAATGTACAGCATTCAAAAAAGGAAGAATATAACGCAAAAAAGGCAAGAAATCACTTTGATGTTTCTTAGTTTTACATGTCTCTCTGGCTGAATACTTTTTTGAATACTGAATACTTTTCTTGTGTTTAGTTAAAGAACATTTACTTCCAGGATGTTGGATATTTCTTTGCAGTTTCCTCAGATGTTTGTCTTTCATTGCAGCATTGTTTGTTTAACAACTTTCCCCTGTTTGTCGATGGCAAAGTTGTAATTCTTTGGATTGTCCAGA